GGCCTCCGTTTGATGCAATTTTTATATCACCGTGATCACCACTCTTTTCTCTACAGGTTGATCGGAGCCGAATCACCAAAACACGAACCTCGCCGGAGAGCCGCCGCACCCGAGAGCGTCGCCGCCGGTAAGCTCCATTTTTCCGTGATTTTTTGGCCCCCCGAGGGCCCTAGGGTTGTTTTCTCGCAGGGACCGATGCGAGTGTGGCCGAATTCGGCCGAAAACGGCCGAAAACAGCCAACCCGAGGTGAATCGCCGCTGCCAGCGGCGGTGCCGTCGCCGGAGCACGGCGGAGCCGCTGTGCCGGAGTTGCGATTTGGGCCGAAAGGGGCCCTGGGCCTAATTTGGGATTTTTTGGAACACGTGCAGGTACCAGTAGTGCGTTTCAGTTCCCCGAGGAAAATTCAGGGAAAATTAGGGACAGCCTGCAAGCGCACTGTGAAGCCGTGTTCGGACCCCGAAACGAGTAAGGACCCCTCACCCTATTTCCTATCACGGTTTTAAAGTTCAATAAATGATAAAACGGTATTTCATGAATCAACGAATGTGTGAAATTACTTAAGGTCACTAATGGAGCCCGAGTCTAGTGTGTTTGTCGGTTAATTGTTATTTGGCCTGTTTTACAGTTTTAAACGTAGCATGAGGTTCAATGTTTTCATTTTATAGTTTCGTGTGCATGTTTTACTGTTTTATTGATTATGGATTAAATGACCGGGATATTGATGCTGTATGTTGTCTGCTTAGCATAAATTATCGTTTTGTTTGCTTGTATGTGGATTAATGATGCTGACTGAGGAAAAAGAGAATGAACAATTATGTAAATGGATAATGGTATAATGTGGTCAGCCTGACTAGATATCCTGGGAGATGGTGGACGGACCGGGTCCGTAGGGAACCCTACCGGGATTGTGGTCTCCCATACCGAACGGGGTATGGAGATCTTATGTGTTTTGGCGCCCATACCAGACGGGGTATGGGGACGGCCCGTTTCACCCTCATACCGGACGGGGTAATGAGGTCTATAGTTTGGCGCCCATACCGGACGGGGTATGGGGATGGCCTTGGAATTTGATTTCAAGTGTTAAGGATTAACGGGTAGCGGGACCCCTACGGATCCCCATGGATACTAGTGGGCTGGTGAATTAGGAAAATATATTGTGTAACGATTGAATTACGAAAAGTGTGATAGGTATTATGTTATACAGTTCATATATATGTTTCCATGATGATGATGATGTTATTGCTTTCGTATATTGTTTTATGAATTTCACCGAGGTAAGTAAATGGTAAAGGTTTTATTTATCGATAAAAGGATTTGTTGTAAATTATGCTCCATTGGTCGTTTTGTGTTTTCTACCCACCTTTACCTCCGTGACGATGAGATATCGTGATGTCTTTACTAGGCTAGTGTGGCTCATTCCTTATTTAATCATTTCGGATCAAGAGGACATCGTTCCCGAGCCGATTCCGCAGGAGGACGACGAAGGGGACGCCTAAAGACTCCATAGTCACATTCGTAGTTTTTACTTTCAAGTTTCTCCTTTAGGTAGTTTAATCTTTCATATTTTGAGCACGTTTTTGGTTTTCGTGTAAGGGATGTTATTCAAATTTTGACTTCGCTTCCGCATTTGATATTTTTGAATATAAAATTCCATTTTAAATTTCCGAGGCTGCTACATATCTCAAATTAAGAAAACATCTAATTAAAGTTTGTGTAATTCATCCTTTCCTACATGTGCATCATAGAGAACATTGTCTCTGTTCACCCATATCAACTCCCATATCTATACTATTTGTTTTAATCCCTTTCCAGTTCGTTTCTCTCCTTCATTACCTCCAGTTTAACCATTACTTCATATTTTCTCTCACACTTTTTACCCACCACTCATATTTTCTCTCATAATTTCCACTCCCTTTCTGACTCTCTGCAATACTCTGTCTTCTTCACTGTCCATAATTCTTTTTTTTCTTTTTTTTCTTTTTTTTTCTACACCCATACCTGTTGTACCCGTTCACTGCTTCTCTCCATTTTCCCAAACTCTCAGCAATGCCCATTCCTTCTCATCATCTTCCCAGTTTCCTCCTTATGAAGTCCTCTGTCATGCCCAACAACCTCACAAATTTATTACCCAAACCCAGTATTCAACACACATAAGTCACCCTTTCCAATTCGTTTCCCTATCTCTGATCACCAATACCACACTTTTTAGGCATTTAAATAAACACATCAAGAAAATTAAATATAAAAGATAACAGAATAATAATTTCCAATCAGACATCAGATTTAGACCAATATTTCCCTCTCTATTTTATTTCCTATCCCTCTCCCATTCTCATCCTTTCAATTTTCCGCCTATGTTTCTAGCGTATCTCCTTTGTCCTCTCCTCATAGTCGTCCACACGATAATTCCATAATTTCGTCCGATCTTCTACTTATCCTCAAATTTCACTCTCCATTTTTTTTTTGTTTTTACTCTTGATTCTAATTGATTTCAAGAAAATGTCTCAATTCCCAAATCAACTCATTTCTTCCCAAAAATATCTCAAAGAATTTAAAAGATAAATTCTACTCAAGTGGTGAGAGTCAAATTTCACTTACCTTTGTTCTCAGTGACGATGTTAATCTAATTGACAGATTCCTCCCTTGTTCCGCTCCCGATTCCACCGCTAGCTGATTAATCTAATTGAAGAAATCGCACAAAAACTTCCTCTCAGTTTACCCTAACTGGGAATTTTCTTCCTCTCCCTCTTCCCCTATAGCCCAACCTCCTCTTTTAAAGTGGAGGAACCATTAGAACCGTTGAGCATGGCAACGGAATCCCTAAATTAAATAGAGATTACAAAATATTTTTTGATAATTGAGGCATAATCAATATTTTTACTTTTAATAATTAAGGAAGAAACTAATAACATCTTCTTAAATATAATTATATATTTACTTTTTCAAAAGAAGATTTTTATCTCTTTAATTGTTTAAGTAGTAATCAAAATTTTAAATTTTAAAGACCGATGTAAAAAGAAATCTCTAAACTTTGACTCTTAATAATCATTTAATTCTCTAGATTTAGATATTCTTTAAATGTAATTTTATAATGGTTTTTTTATAGATAATATAATGAAAATAATATTAAAACTCTAAAATATTTGATTAGATAAGTTCAAAAATAGATTATGACACTTGTAGCTTTTTTTTTCTTTCTTGATGCTTTAGGCTTTTCTTTCAATCTTGTTTTAATGCTATAATTTATATCTATGATGCAATGTTTAGATAGGAAACGATAAAATAGTTTCTTTATAAAATTAGCTCTATTAATTTCTTCGCCATAATATAATTTCTTCATAATCTTATCTTCACATTTATTATTTTGTTACGATGTGATCAATTTTAGGTGATCTAGAAATATAAGAAGAGTTAGAAAATAATTAGGAGAAAGAGGAAAAATATGAGGAAATGAGATAGGAAAACAAGAGTTAGACAAGAAGTATTATAAAGATAAGTTCTCTTTCTCTCCTCTATCGCATAACACACAATTAAATAGTAATTATAAAGTAGATTCGTTATAAGAATTCATATTCTTCAAAAGGTTCTTAAGTTTTAGTTAACAACCGCAAACTTACTAAAATCACATATTTAATTTTTTTATGAAATTATCTTTTTGTCCTAAATAATAGAAAAATATAAAAATACAATCTAAATTAAATACGTCCAAAAGTATATAAGTGTACTTACATTGAGTGATATTAAATCTATCTTGTTCGTTTGATTCAATTTTTACTTGTTTTGTATAATTACTACTAATCCTTTACATGTTGAATGAGGTATACATCATTAATTTTATTTTTGAACCGCTTACATTTTCAGCTTAAATAAAATTTTATTTCATAATCCTTCGTATATAGGAAAATCAATTAGAATTCAGTTCTTAAAGAACATAAATCAGAGAGTTTAAATATTAAAATTGTGATATATTGCTCAATTATAAAATATAGGAGGAATGTAGTAATTAAAGTTATTAAGAAAAGGATGAAACTTGTTTAAAAATTAAAGCAAATGGGACAGTTAGATACATATATAAATATTTTAACTTCTAATACTATACTATACCATACTAATATGGTTTAGTCATCCTGTCATAAAATGGTGCACATATGTTATGAATGATGAGTGGTTTACAGATCAGGTAACAGAGAGTTATATGTATAGGAGACTACAATTTTGTTTCCTTGTGAAGGAAAATGGTGAACAACTTACTATCAGTTACTCCACTTCACTCTGTGTATATATATTGAAATTCCATCTACTCAAATATAAATTGATTAAATTAACTTTGGTGCAAAAAAATCACCTTGAGTCATTTGGGTTTTGCCTGTAGGTGTATCATGCTATTGGAAGCACTCAAACATGAATGCTCAATCTTGCAAGAAATATTGAGCATTCTTCATGAGGTAATTAATAATCATTGTTGGTGTTTTCTACAATCTAAAATTTCTATGTAATTTCTTCATTTACAAATTGAATATATATACACATATATAGGTTAATCTCTATTGCTTTTGAAAATATATATTTTTTTTTTTTGTTTCTGATATTTTCTGTGGTACAGATTGGAAGAATGATTGTGGCTAACCCTAGACCCAGATGAACCAGAAGTTGCTGAATGCTATATGTTTAGTTTCCTTTATGAGCTGATTCCAAAAATTTGAAAGTTTGTAACAGAACTTAAGTTTTTTTTATGAGCTGATGCTAAGAACTAAAAACTTAAGTTTATCGTAATGCTGAATAAAAATATGAATTTGCAAGAGATCTCTTATCACTCTCTAATTACTTTCCTAAACAATTGCTTTATATACCACTTGAATTTTTTCAATAGATCTGAAATCAACTAAAGAAATGTCTTAAAAAGTTCTATTGTCAAGCATTAATTTAGATGACACAGTAATGATTTACGAAACAGAAAAATATCATAATCAATTCAAAATAATTTATGAGATACAGAAAATGTTATAAAATCGAACAATGGAGTTAAAATAATATAAGGTTATTCTTGATTTACAGTGAATTCTCTAAAAGAATTTCTTTCACGCCTGTAATACTATGTATATGATATTAAGTCTGTAAACAGGAAACAATTTGCTTAATCTCAAATCCAGAAAGAAGTTTCAAGCTAATGCTAATTCTAAATCAACATATCATCTTTACATTAAGATCCTATGATACCCGAATCACTGCTCAAAAGCTTTAACCCCTAAATAAAATGAAAAATAAACCATTGTTATCATCACCATTATACCTTTAAGTAGTTTAGATAGGTAAGTTGAGTCATAAATTGAAGTTACCTATCCTTGTCTGAAAGCAGCTTCAGAATCTTATATTATGTAAGTCTGTTGGGAGTTCTTCCGACCACGCTTTCTCTTGGGGTTAGCATTTATCATGCAAGAGAAGGCATTGACAAGCTCAGAATCCTCTTCAGTTATCAGAATTTTGGCTGCACTTGGGTCTGCAAGTAGAAGCTTAGCCACAAGGTATCCAGCAATTGACCATGTCTGGAATAACCGTGCTTGCTTCCCCATGAACCTTCCTTTTTTCGTGTCATAGTATTCAGGCCACTTATCTCTTGATATGCGTCTTTCAGCAACTTCAACAGCTCTTGCAGCGATTTCTGGTCTTTTCATCTTTATGGCTGCAACAGTAAGCTGCAAAAAGTCCATTGTTAAAATCTTAAGCCGCACTGCCAACATTTCTTCATTATTGCTATATTTTATAAAACAGCAACAAAGTGTCATATCCTATTGGATTCAAGCATGACAACTCAGGAAACTTATACCTCAATATAACTTCTACAAAAGGGTTTGGAGCAATGAACAAAACATTAGCAGCAGAGAGAATATTTAAGCATAACAAACTAACCTGCCATAGCAGAGTTGGCCAAGAACCACCATTGTGGTAAGACCAAGGCCTATACCACAGAAGGAAATGTAGTGAGAAATGCTGAAGATAATGAAGAAATAGATAATAAATAAATAATACGAGAGCACATATCTTACGTGTTTTTAGGATCACTACCAGTGATTATTTGCCACTCCTGACCTTCAAGAGCAGGATAACATATCTTGAATGGCATATCTGCTACCAAATCTGCCCATTTCGCTTCAATAAGATCCAGTATGGCATGTGACTGATCAGCTGTTGCCAGGCTGCTTACAACAGACCACATGTTTCCTAAAGAAAAAAATCGGAAATCCATATGTGCTGGCTGTAAGTTTCCAATTAGATAACCTCCTTTATTAGGCATCCATTCCACCAACCAAGGAGAAATCTGATCTGGGTAAATGTTGAACTTATTAACTGCATCATATGAGTACTCCTCAGTCTTGTAACGATAAATCTCATTCAGTTTTCGCAAATCAATCCAATAATACTCCCTGATGTGGAATGAAAGAGCAAGTAAGCGATTATTCAGTGCCCGGATAAGATCAGCTGATCCATCTTCTGGAGCAAGCATTTCACGTGCACAGAGTAAGGCAGAATAAAATAGTGCCTGCAAGAAAAAAAAAGGTTTAACTGGAGATACAACCAGGAAAGAACGTAAACAAATAAGATCTGTTAGTTACCAACTTATAAATTTAAATAATGGCCGATTCATGTAGGCTAGTGAGTCAGATCATAATCTGCTGTTTCCGCCAACATGTTACAAACATACTTCACCTAGTAATGCACAAACCAGATCTCCATGGTGTCAAACATGTAAGCTATGAACTATCTCAAAAAGCATAAGCTATAAACTATACAATCTCCATCATTCTGGGGATTTGCACCATTCGGAAGCAACCAAAAATACAATGAATAACAATTCCAATAGTTGAACATTTTCTGAATCGACCAGACTGGAATCATCTACTTATTACACCTGCCAGAAACTCACTTGAGAAGCACCAAGTTATGATATCAATTTAACTCAAGCTTGTCAAGCACTTAATCCTAGCTTTATTTTCAAACTTCCACTATTGTTTGCCAAATTGATTTAGTTTTATAATTTCACTTCCAGCGTAGTTGCTGCAACAAGCCCCTATTACACCATGTGCAGAATTATTCTGTACCACCACTCTTTACCATTTCAAATGAACCATAAAGGCAATTTTTCCCTTACTTGAAATAAACAGTTGACGAGCACATATGGCTATTCAAACAACTGTTAGAACAAAAAAATGAATCTGCCCTGATGATTCTTTCATTTCACATAATAATTCCATAATCTAAATTAAAAAACACTATTTCAATACAAGGAGAACTAATCACCTGGATTTCAAGAGGATGACCATGAATTCCCATACGACGATCTATCATGCAAGAACCATCAGTCACCAGTAATGTAGGAAACATGTCAAAACCATCAGCAAGACAAAGCTTCAATATCATTTTAATTCCAGTTTGCACGTCAACTCTCTCCTGAACAGATAGATCCCCAGAGCACTTTCCATATGCACGTAATAAAATAATCCACCATAAACCTACAAAAGAAGTAGAGGTAAAAGGAATTACGAAAAAGGGAAAAAATGTAAAAACTTGGCATGATAAACAAACACAAAGCATGCATCATCTTCTGAACAACTTCTGGCATGATAGAAAGTTTGCCACATACCAGAATCAATTGGTGCAACACGGCCAATTGCTGCCTCTCCAAAATCAGGATCCAATACTTCTTCTGTAGCAGAATCATCACCATCCAAGGGAACAGTTCGCACCTTAAAACTGGCAGGCATCAACCCCTGACCAGGGCTGTAACAGTCCATCGTTTTTTCCCAGCTCTGCAAAGAAAGTCATAAAACAAAATATGCATCAATTATGTCTGAGGTAATCAAGCGGCTAGGATTTAATTTATCAGATGGTCATAAAACAAAATATGCATCAATTATGTCTGAGGTAATCAAGTGGCTAGGATATAATTTATCAGATGGCCATGGCCCCACCAGGGATTGCTCATATACAGATTTACCTAGTACTCAAAGCATTTTTTAAATTACATCAGTGCATGGGTTTCGTAGGTGCCAACAGTCACATTCTCGCAACTGTAAGACAAGTAGTCAATTTTATTCATAATATGGTTACATATCAAGAAGATTCATTAACATAATCATAGTCCTGCAAAAATATTATAGGAAAGGCACATGCTGTCTTGTGCACATTCAACCACACATAACCAGTTACTAAGCAATTTATGGAATTATCTTGACAGCCAGATTTGAAAGTGAACTCAATGACAGAGGTTTAACTATGTGGACTACTTATCAGCAATTAGATGGATGCTTATTTGAAAAATACATTTCTTTTATATGATATTTTTTCATAAGCAAAAAACACCTAATCAGTAGAGGGATTTCTTGGAAAAACCCAGCTGAGATATGAACAACTAAAAGAAAGATGGATATCACGTGCATCTGTTGCACTTCTCAATTTGCAGAAACAAGCAAAAAAGTAATTTAGTCCAATCTGCTAGATGCAAATGATTAATTGCCAGAATAGAAGGCAAATATGATCCTGGTCATAAAATTTCACATTACCTGCAACTGAAGGGTATGAAGGATGAAATTCCGAACAATGTCATACTCTCCCTTCAAAAGAAAGGCAATGCCAGAAGGTATAAAGTCACGGATAAAGACCTGATCATAATTCAACACATTGGAACTAGTGGGATCATTGGCGGCAATAGTTCCAATAGGACTCCCACAATAATAAACCACAGAATCACGCAATAGGTCCCATGCTTCATCCTCAATAGAATCTACAATGGCCTTCCGAAAGTTAGTAGTACCTGGTCCAGCTGTACCATTAGATGTTAAACTCTCCTTTTCCCGTTTCAATTGTTTAACATCCCCGAATTCCAGAACATTTGGTGTGTTTACCACATTATTCAAATTTAGTTCCTTAGCGCTATCCACAAACCATGCTCCATTTCCTTCTGCAGTTATTCCCCCAAAATTTTCAGCATCTTCACATTTGCAACTAAGAAGTTGGAACCTGTCAGTGGTTCTATTCCTATGCAATCCACTTCCTAACCCCTTAACTAGTTGGGATCCCCTGGAACCCAGTGGTGCATTAGGACAAATGAAAAATTGTATACAACTCCGTGCCCTTTTCTTCGAAAAATTTACAGCACATTTAGGATGAAATCTTGAATCCAATTTGCTAAAACATGGATCAGAACTGAAACGACTGGGAATAGTTCCAGATAAAACTGGCAGAACTGCCTCAGAAGTTCCCATAAACACAATGCTAATCAAATAAATATAACCCTATCAAAACTAAACCCTTCTTTTATCAAACTGAACCCAAGAGATTCCTGACTCAATCAAAATAATACCTTCCTCCACTTCGGTTTCGAGATTGATTAACCTTAAATCAGAAAACAAGCAAAATAAACAAATCAAGGCATGAGATTCACTGCAAGTATTTTAGTGAAAACTTTCAACTAAATTAGACATACAGCCCAAAAGCAAAAAATTCAACAATAAAAATAAAAATAAACTTTAACACTCGATGAAGAGTAATGAAATGATGCCACAAGCATACATAATAAATCTCTTCTTCCCCCTTCACTTTCAGGAACCACAGAAGAATTAAGAATTATCGTCTATACCCAGAAGACATGTAATAAGAGTATCCAAACGGGGAGAAAAACTCATCAATAGCCAAAACCCAACAATTATTAGATACCAATACAATTTTTTTTAAAGGAAAACAACCAAGTAACCAGTCAATTCAATGACAGAACTTAACAAAAGTCCTATTAATTGGATCATTCATGAATCAGAGACTCCAAAAGAGAAAAAGAATATCACAGCTTAAAATTCAAACCCAGATGAAGAATATTAAAAATGAAGATACTCGAAAACTAAATCGAGAAAATAAAAGAGAAAAAGTGCATACCTGGTACACAATCAAAAGTGGGTTTGTATCCAAACGATGTTTGGGAGCAGAAAAATCCGGAAAGAAAGAAGACGATGTTGTGTGGTTTTAATATATCCACACAATCACCATTAATAATAATATAATTGTGTGTATCGTATTAAGTTTTGTTTTGGCTAGCTGTTTTTTTTCAATTCTAATTCTAATTCTTCTTTCATTTTTCCACTCTCTTTTCTTTTTTCCTTGCTTTTTCTTTTCTGACTCATATGGTTAAAAATCAGCGAAAGACGGATGTGCAGACGGAAGAGATATTTTACGGTGAGCGAGAGCACACTGTAAATTCATGCACCCTCCATTTTCGCCAATTCGCCATTAATTTATTCAACTTATTGAAATAAATATATATATATATGTATATATACAATTTCGTTCACTATATTTAGTTTGAATTATATGACCAATAATATTTCACATTAAAAAGGTACATAGTTTATAGAAATAAATAAATTATTAAATTAGTGTATAAAAATTTAATACTTATTACAATTTAATTTTTGATATTTTCTGTTATAATATAGTTTCGTTAGTTTTTTTATTTATTTAGACACTCAATTTTTTTTGTTTTTAATAAAAAATTTAAATAATTAATTATATTTAAATATTTTTTAAAAAAATAACTCAAAAGATAATTTTAATTAATTATTTAAATTAATAATTTAATAACAATAAAAAATAAACTTAATCTTATTATTAATCTATTAATTTAATTAAGCAAACAATATAATTCTTTTAAGTTATTTTTTAAAAAAAACTCAACATTATTTAACTATTTAAGTTTTTTCATTAAAAATTTTAAAAAAATATTGTTTAAAATAAATAAAATATTAAAAACTAAATTATAATAAAAAAAAAATATTATGAAATAAATTATAAAACATATTAAATTTTAAAAATTAATTTAATAATATATCTTTTATAAAAGTATATAGAGGTTCAAATGTTATCACTAAAACTAAATAAAACAGAAGAAAAAAATTACTGGATTATTGTTTTTTAAGTTAATGAATTTTAATTTAGGTCATTAGTAATATATATATATATATATGGATAATTTTAATATATATATTAAGAAATTTATATTCATAATAATTCATGTATACATAAGGAGAACCTACAAATTAGTGATGAAATATTTTTCTGGTGGGTAAGTAAAATAAATAAAATTAAGCAAGAGCAGCCAAGACACCAACAAGAGGTGCAGTGTTTGCGGTGGCTGGTTCGGCTTGTTGGTAATTGGACCTTGAGTCATCGAACTGGTCATTTTCGTCCGGACCACCCACGACGGCTCCGTCAAGTACATTCGGGTTCGGAGCATCTTTGTTGAACCACAAGTCGAACCCTTCTTTGCACCCCACCGAATTCCGGCTCCTCTTGATGGATACGATCGATGCTCCTCTGTGATGTGGTTTGCTTGGGTAGTTTGATCCATATCCAACCATGTAGCTCATTTTCTTTGGATTCGAACCCAGTATATAATCCACCTATAAATATACATCTTCATTAGCATATATATATATATATATATATATATATATATTAGGCGGACATTAAACATATATATGTGTATATTGTGTGTGTACCTGGGATCGAGCAAGGTTGAGGAGATCAGAGGGGTGAAGAAGGCCGGAGGGACAGGGGAGCGAGGCATGGGCGGCGGAGAGATATTGGGAATAGACGGTGGCAATGAACGTGGCGGTGGAAGTGTACTGAAGATTATTCCATGGCATAAACCAAAGCAATCCTCCCGCCGTCTTCTTCACGTTACTGTTACCTTTTTGAGCGCAAGAGCATATGAATTGCTCCACCTGCTTCTTGTACTGACCCAGGTTCCCTGACTCCTTCACTTTTCCTTCCAATATAAGCTGCAAATATATATATGCACGCAAATTCATATATTGATCAATTACTATATATGTTTATGTTTACAGAGATGGAGAGAGGGAGGGACCTTGGCGACAAGTGCCTGTGCACCAACAAACTTGTCATCCCAGGAGAAGGAGGTTCTGGTGCCGCCATTGTTGGAAGCTTGAGCCAGAAAATCAAGGTATTGTTGGTCGTTAGTGGCACGGTGTAGCCATGCAGCAGCCCATAGCAATTCGTCCTGTCAAACCCGATATAACTACTTATACCTACATCCAAATATACACATACATATATATATATATAAATGTATCTGTATATATCGATAGTCAAGTGTAAGTACAAACCTCATATCCACTGCTGGAATAGAATTTCCCTCCAGAAATACTGTTTTGGTAGAGACCAGGGTGAGCACGAGCAAACTCGAAAAGCTGCAAACGTACATTAATTTTATTTTTAATTAATTATATAAATTGAAATTATATGTTATATAAATTCTTCATTATTTGTTTTTCACACAAAATCTTCTAACAAAAAATAATTTCTCGTATTTTTATTAAATTTTTTTATGTAAAAAAAAAGTATATCATCTGCCTAAATTTTCAAAATCTAATTATATATATATACACATACCTGTTTTGCATGGTGAAGAAGAACGCGAGAGTAAGACGAATCAGATTGAGAAAACGCGACGGAGGCAGCAGCAAAAGCAGCGGCAGTTTCACCGGCGAGATCGGCACCAGGATGTTGATCGTCGATACGGTAAGACGGACGGGGAGTGGTCATATCCTCCGGCCTCTGCCAGCAAGCATGGTCGGAATCTCCGTCGCCGATTTGGCCGTAGAGGACGTTCGGCTGGGGATGAGCCTTGATGAGGTAATCAGTCGCCCATCTGACGGCTGTCAACGCGTGACTAAGCTCTCCGTTTGCCTTCAGTTGGTTCTTCATCTCCACCGCGCTCCATGCAAGCATTGTCGTCGTGAACGCCATCGGAAATCCAAACTTCACGTTGTCGCCGGCGTCGTAGTATCCTCCGACCAGATCAATCTGCACGACGTCGTATTATTAATTTATTTCTAATTAAAAACTAATTTGATTAATTGATTAATTACTTAAGATTTTACTTTATTATCTCCGCCGTCTCTGAGGGCGGAATCTCCACGCCACTGCGCTCTCTGATCGGAAGGCAATTTCCCAGAACGTTGAGCCTCATAATAAAGCAAAGATTTGGTAAGTGCGGCCTTGTAATCTACAGAAACCACTCCATGAACAAGACAAAATGTGATTAGCAGTAAGTTAATTACCGCCATTATCAGAATTTTATTCAAGCTTAATTACAACACAACACAGCTCTATCAACTTGTGTGTGTGTGTGTGTGTATATATGTGGGTATGTGTATTAGTCAATATAACTTCCTAAAATCTTCGCACGTACAAATTATGGTAATTATATCGTCCAGTTAATAATTTTCCCAAAAAATACAAAACCTAATAATATATACATATATATTTTTATTAATGCAAAATCCCAATTCCAAATATTTGATATTGTTTGTAACTCTGTTTGATTCACCTCGTTATGGCATTAATTTTGACGTGTTAAGGAATTAATTATTTCCTTCTTATTTTCTAGACCTAATGCATTTATCACAATGATTAGTAGCAATTTAAGTTTATAAATGGTCTTCAGATTAGAAGATATCTTCTTGCGGATCATATACAAAATCGTTGCTGATATGGGTCTCTAATGTTTTGACAAATTTTTTATATGTCAACGTGATTTGTAGCAAAAATTAATCAAAAATCTGGAATTAACCTCAGATTTAATGAGAATTTTGCCGTTAATTAATTATACTAATTATTATTTTTTTTTTTAATGGAAGAGTTCGTAATAAACTTAAGCATGATGGGTTCAAAATCCCAATAATTAATTTAGAATTGATCATCTGCAGCTCTAAATATATGATTGCCGTTGAAACGGGATTCATTATATTTGTATTTAATACAAATACTATTTTAGAAAAAATATATAAATAATTATGTTAGTAATTAAATTCACAAATCTATCTTTTAATGATCTTATTATATATGCTTTAATTACATATAAGTTTGTTTGCTTTTGATGTAGGATTCACTTTCATCATAATATATACATACACACTAACTTTTCATTACGTTACTCGACGACAATCAAAATTTATTTTTTGAATGAGATTCCAAATTAGTAATTAACAAATGGTATATTCTAAAGGTTAAATATTCATTATTATTAATAACTTGGCACTGAGAGCAATCTGGACTTCATGGCCCAATGGATAAGGCGCTGGTCTACGGAACCAGAGATTCTGGGTTCGATCCCCAGTGGAGTCGATTTTGCATTTCCCTTCATTTTTTTCCTCTATATTGATATGAATTTCTATATATTTACGTTAGTTGGCTACATATAAAATGATAATATAGTTAGAAATTTCAAAATATTATTTTTAATATTTTTCCGAAAAATCATTTCATTTAATTTGATTATTCCATATTCTGAGCTTGGAATTCAATATCTTTTTCCAAATTAAATCTAAATTGAACAATTTATACATCTTACTAAATTTGTATTAATCTCGATCATTATGGTAACCATAAGGGATAATCTTGTGTATATTCATTATGGGAGCAATATATTTCCTTTTCTCAAGGTCAATCTATCATTTCTGGTGTGATTTATCAAGAAAATCAATTTATATCACCATGAATTCTCAAAAAGGAAGAGAATATTTATTATAATGATGATGTTTTAATTAATTAAGGAGATCTAATGAATCAACATATTTATTACGCTGTGAATTTTGCACAGGACCTACTAGGAAGATGGCCTGTACTACCTCAATCGCCTGTGTAACTTCACAAGAACCACATCATATATGCAGGATCACAATTAGCACCCTAAGGATATAAATAAAGCAGAAAAGAAAATTAGAAACATGTTTTACCCAAATCCAGGAAATCTCACATTCAGCTCTAATTACCAGACCAGAAGAAAATCAAATGACATACTATATCTGTTTTAGAAAGAGAGAAATTCTAGGGGGGGAGGGGAAAACAAAAATATTATCCAACAACCAAAAACTTCCACAATGGTTTCTACCAGACAAAATTCAGAAACACACCGAGTGTCGCCCCTATGCATCTCTTCATCCACATAGAGTTACATAAATAAGTTGGGCCTTGATGCCTTGTATGTCGTCTTCAACTTCCTAGATGGGGGTCTGACTTTCTTAAACACCAAGGGGAACTTGATTTTGGAATTGTGGAACTGCTTAGTACTCTCCCTCTTGCAGAGCTTCGCTGGGATGGTGGCAGTCTTGATAATTTGGATGCAAGGAAACCTTACCCTGTGGCGAGATGCCATCTCAGTGTACATCTGCTCCACAGCTCCATTCAGGGTGGTGTCCCGGTATTCCTTGTACATGTTGTGGTACCCTGTTCTGCTCTGGTAACGCAGCCAAATACCATAGTTGTTGATCTTGGTTGGGTTCTTCTCGAAAATCTGCAAGTGATCCCAATGGTTATAGATCGGGTGCAACCAGAAGATACTTGGTTTAACCAGTTCTTCATAAAACCTTCCAAGTTAATTCTCACGGACCAAAGATAAATGCATTTAATGAAACACATCAACTAATCATGCATCTCAGCAACCAGTCCCACAACATATAAAGCATAAATGGAATATTTATTTTCTAATAGACTGGATATCAATAATTAAGTCCGCATTCTAGTTTAAATATATAGAGCCTAGAGGTTATTCCACTTCAGTGGGATTAAGTACAAAGATCTCAGACATCCAAGGATTAAAGCAGCATTGGCTCTCCAGCCAGGCGATGGCGAAAGCCCTTAGGCAGCCACTGCGAATGTTTTGAGAAACAAGCCTTTGGAGCTGTCATCATTGAGCATATATAGAAGACAAAGAATCTAATTCCTCTTCATATGGTAAAGAAGCACCACATAGAACTAACAATAAGAATAAGCCAACAAGAAATGCCAGATCTATACACCCTCAATGGAGTTATTAGCAAAAAAAAACAAAGAGAAAATGTGCATACAACGTACAGCACTTATTAAAACTAGCAACTTTTTTGCATATCAAGGGTACAGAGATCTCAGACATCCAAGGAAGAATTAAAGCAGCACAAGCTCTCAAGCCAGGAAAAGGCGAAAGCTCTTAGGCGGCCACTGCGAATGTTTTGAGAAACAAGCCTTTGGAGTTGTCATCATTGACCACATGTAGAAGGCATGAATAATTGAGTATTCCCTTTTTATGATAACGATGGCACTGTATAGACCCAATGATATGGATAAACGCCACTATTCAGAACATCAATTGACAAACTGAAAGGTACAAAAACATCTATGTAAAATACGGCCTTTGAAGTTTTCATTGTCAACCAAAAATAGTATATACAAGGCAAGCCTCCCTTCCTGAGCACAAAGATGGCATAACAGATAAAATAATAAATCATCGAATTGCAACCTCTGTAACCACCAATAGATGTCAACTGACCATATGTGAAAGAGTTGTCACATACTATAATCATTAAAATCAACTTTTATACAAGAAGGTAAAAACCATAGACTAAGTAGCTAATCATCAAAAGAAAAACTAGTGGATCATCTGAAAAATTGTTTTCTAAAAGTCTAAATTATAAATCTGTAAATGCCAATATTCAGTAAATAAGGTTAAGGAATAAAAGAAAGGTTCAGCCAAGACTAAGACAGATTGGATGGAACAATGACTTGTAAGGAACTATAATGATTTCACCTATATGATTCACAGTTCAACCACGTCTCTTTCAGACGTGAGAACTTATTTTTTTAAAAAAAAATTCATCTTAAATTTAATCTGCATTTGAGATCCTATGCCCCTTTCAAAATTTATTAGAGCTATGGAGTATACAGAAATGAGGCATACAAAATTACCTCGTTGATAGCAAGCATTTGTCCATTGCTCTTCTTCACCTTCTTCAGCTTCCTCAAAAAATACCTTAAGCGAATAAACAACCATAGTGACAACCTCAGTATCAAACTCTAACCCAATCAAATAACGCTAAACTAAAATGTCAAATCACCGAAGTCACTCACCAGAACTTGGACTTAGCACGAACCTCGTTCGTGGCCCAAAGCTTCATACGGTAAATCTTGGGATGCTCATCAGCTTCTGATGGCAGAGCTCTCCCGACAACCTGGTATTGGTGAAACTGCACGCCAACACAAAAACCAGATATCAACACTCCTATATCGAGTTTAACAATCAAATATAAAAGATAAGAAAAGACTTAATCCAACCAAAACCAATTTGTCTGCCATATTTCTCAGCAGCCAAACCGAATCTAGCAATATTTGAGCGAAATAACACAGGAAAAACGAGAACGATGCGTTAACTAAGATATAGAGAAACGAAGGAAACAATAAGGGTAGATCTGCAAATGGCAATGAACTTACCCTGTAGGCGACCATTTTCTTCTTCGAGGAACTAGCAGAAGATATCGGCAGCCCCCTCTCAAACCTTCCCTTCGTACAACAACTAGGGTTTGATCAACAACGAATTGTCCAGGGTTTTTCTGTTTTATATAATGTTATAGCTGGGCCTGGTTGCATCAGCCTGTAACCGAATGGGCCATATTAAAGTGGTTTGCTAATGGGCCGAAGCTCAGGGTGCCAGGGGTTGATTTGAAAAACCCTAGTTTAATTTCATACTTGGTCCCTAATTGTTATTTTTATTTTCAAATTACTCCCTTACGGTTTGACGTTTAACACTAAGGACCCTAAATGTTTCTGTAATTTATATTGTAGACCTTCATTTAGTTAATACCGTTAATTTCATTAAGATATGACGTGTCATATCAAAATAAAATAAATACGTGGTATAATATATTATTAAATAAATTAATTTTTTATTATAAAATAATTATATGATATTTATAGATAAAACTGATTATAAACACTAAATAACCTCAAATTTTCAGCTGCGTTTTCTTCAAGAGCAGCAATGGCGCTCTCCTCTGCTTTCAGAGAGAGGCTTCAACACATGGAACAGACCAGAGATGAACGCCTCTCTCATCTCCAGGTATTTAGGTTGCTGAACAAAGCCCTATCTCAATGTTTGATTCCAGATCATCTGACTTTTCCATTTTTCCCTATAGCATGAAATCTTCTTCTTTTTTTTTTTTTTTTTCTTTTTTTCATGTTTCATCTCTCTAAGGTTGCGGTTGTTTCTTCATTTTCTCGGCCACCAAACAGCAAAAGAAAATGCGCTCTCTAGAGATACCTAATTCGCAATATGATGTTTTACAGGCAGAGAGAGAATTGCAAAGAAACAAGTCTCAGGTTTTAGCTTTTAAGCTCGAGAACATTCGATCCATGGAGCGAAGGTGCTTGATTCTTGATCGACAGATCGCGTTGCAAAACTTCAAGATCTCAGCCCTCAAATCCGAAGTCGAGAGCCTTGACTCTAAATATGAAGCTATTTCACAAGAACTAAGGTAGAATTTTTGTTACAATATCAATATAATCTATTTTATCCATGTGAAAAAATGTCAGTGTTTTTTTCTTAAATACATTCATTGAATTTAGATGACTTCAATTGGGTTTAGGGTTTTAAATAGTGAGGTGGAGGAGCTTGAGGAATTTGAGGAAGACAAACAGAGGTTTTATGACTTGAAAACTTTTGAGATGAAAGAATTTAAGCAAAATGTGGAGAATTTTAAAGCAGAATGTGGAGGGCGAGTTGAAGAATTGAGAGTGAGAGTAAATGAGGTAAAAAATGAAGTATTGATTAAATTCTGCAATGCATACTGTGTACTATTTGTTTGCTCTCTGTTCATTTCAATGCACATTTCATTTGATGTTCATCTAGGTGGGTGCTTCACTTCACAAGGGTTTTATTACGTTGCAGAGATGAAACTATAGAGACATAAGGCCCATGTATTTACATAGAAACTTATTTTGTAAATTTATATGTATTTTATTCATAAAATTATAGAAGCTAATTAACAAGGAAGGGAATGAGGGGGAAAATTATACAAGTTATTTTGCTTGTGCTTTGATTATACAAATATGAAACTCTTTCAAGAACAAAAGCACACATACAAAGCCAAAAAGTATTTTCACGAATTAAATGAAACCTTACTAACTCTTAACTTGTATTAAGTTGTGAAGTCACTTCAACATTGAGAGATTTCTCATGCATATTAATTGAGAGATGAAGAATCGGGAAAGAGAAGAGCATCATATTGGGAAAGAAGAATGAATTGTTCTGCATTTAATGAGATGGGTTGAGTACTTATATACAATATCTAATCCTGATTAGTTACACAAATGAAAATTAACTAATCAGCTAACCAAACTACTTAAACTAATTACAACAACTTTTTGATTGTAGTGCTGACTGGATAGTTTGACTTTTCTAGCTGCTGATTGTACATATTGATTGATTATACTTTCTCTTAGCCCCCCTCAAGCAGGGGCATACAAGTTTTGTATACAAAGCTTGCCTATGGCTTCTTGAAATGTTGGAATGGAAAGAGCTTTTGTGAAACAATCAGCTAATTGATGGATTGAAGGAATAGTTAATAAGTGTATAAGGCCATCAGAAAGTTTTTGCCGGATGAGGTGGCAATCAATTTCGATGTGCTTTGTACACTCATGGAAAACCGGATTTTATGCAATTCGGATGGCAGATTGATTGTCACAATATAATGATGTCGTCTTATAAGGAACTTGTAAGTCTTGTAACAGGTACTAGAGCCATTGAATCTCACATGTAACTGCTGTCATTGCACGATACTTAGTTTTTGAAGAGGATCTTGAAATTATTTGTTGTTTTTTAGTCTTCCAAGATATTAGTGCGTCACCTAGAAAAACACAGAATCTAGTTGTGGATTTTCTTTAGTCAATACAAGATGTCCAATCTGAATAACTAAATACTTTTAAATGTAAAGAGTTTTGAGAAGGGTAGAACAATCCTTGTCCAAGTGTACCATTTAGGTACCGAAGAACTTGATGAGCTACTTGCAGATGCTATTGTGTCAGGCAATCAAGAAATTGTGATAGTTGCTGAACTGCAAATGATATATCTAGTTTTGTGTTAGTAAGATATAAAAGTTTTCTAACAAGATATCTATATGAAGTAGAATCAACTACTGATGAACTGTTTTATTTGCATAATTTGCTTGAAGGATTCATTAGAGTAGGTGTAAGTTTGCATCCTAAAAAATCAGTGTCACGCAGCAAGTCCAAGGTATATTTTATTTGGTATATGTTGATTCCTGTAGATAATCTGGTTATTTCCAAACCTATAAAAAATTTCAGCTCACCAAGGTTCTTTATTTTGAACTTATCATGCAAATAATTTTTGAAAAGTTATATTTGGTGCATATAATTACTTGCAAGAATAATATCATCAACATATATGAGTAGTGTAATAAAAGATGAATCATTGTTCTTAAAAAACAAAGAAGAGTCAGAATGGGCTTGCTTGAAACCTTGAGTTTTCAAGGCTTTTGTGAGTTTAAAATGCCATTGACGGCTGGCTTGCTTAAGCCCATAAAGACTTTTCTTTAGTCTACATACTTGGTTCTTTGTAGTGGCTTGAAAATCAATCGAAGTGTCTTGTACACTTCTTCATATAGGTCACCATGTAAGAATGCATTATTAATATCTAATTGATGTAAAAACCAACCTTCCGAAGTTGATACTGCAAGCAATGTTCTGATTGTTGTCAATTTAGCTACTGGAGGGAAGGTGTTTAAAAAATCAATACCTGACTGTTGGGTGTATCTTTTTGCAACCAGTCTTACTTTGTATCTTTCAATAGATCCATTAGCTTTTTTTTTATTTTGTAAACCCATTTACACCCGATTGGCTGCTCATTAGAAGGCAAACTTTTAGTTCCCATGTATTATTTTGTTCCAATGCCTTAATTTCAGTAAGCATAACCTCCTTCCAACAAGGATGTATGATGGCTTCACTGTAGGTTTTGGGTTCTATTTCATGTTCTATTGCAAGAATAAAGGATTTCTAGGTATTGTCAATGTTTTTGTATATAAGGACATTTGAAATATTGTGTGGTGTAGATGAACTGGATTTGATTTAGGATTTTAGACCATATAACTGATAGTCCTTCAAATAAGATAGTTGCTTTAAAGGCCTATTAGAACATCTATATGCTGAAGGATTATGCATGGTATTTTGGTTTAGATTTGAAGGAGGTTCAAGAGACTGGCGTATACTAGTTTAC